TTCTTTTATATTTGCTCGTGTAATTTAGATTTTTCGATACACGATTCACTTAAAGTTATGGTTTAATCTCAACTCTTCATTTTAACCTAATGATTCTTATTCATTTTCACATTCTCATATAATTTACTCATTTGTTATTAATAAAAAAGAGAAATCATCCTTCAATTTTAAAAATATCTTTTAATCTCATAAAATATAAATCCAATATATATATATATATAAACTAATTTTGATTCCAAATTTAAATAATAACAAAAATATATAATTAGTATGCGTGGTGGATTTTAGTGGCTTTAGTTTAATCCTACGCAATAATTGTAATTGTGAGTACAAGTCACAATTAATTCATTACGAGCACCCGTCCTTCGAGTTGGCACATGGATTCGTTGTTTACTATTATGAGGCATTATTCTTCTTTACTACTATCCAATCTTTACTATTTTTATTACCGGAAAATCTTCATTGTTGCATTATATTATTAGATTCGATCCAAATATAATTGTACTAGATATTAGGTAAGGTCCAATAAATAAGATTAAATTTTTAGAACAAGATATCAATTCATATTCATATTCTAACTGAAAAATTTAAAACTAAAATAAGTGTAAGCCAAAAATCGGTAATGACCGGAAAGATTCTTAAGTGACTGTCATTTGTTGTTGAGAATATTTCTTTTATGATTAAAATGACAAGTTTACGAAATCATTATTTATTAAAAACTTTTGTATAATTTTGATGTAAATCGATATCCTCAAACAAAAGACAATAGTAGCGATCTTAGCTCGGTCTCTTTTGTTAGAGATTAAAATAACAAGTTTATCTACTTTATACTTGCATGGTTTTCTTTACAAATTTTACTAATCCTTCTTTCGTAGTTGTTTTAAGTTTTTGAAGGCTCCTATAGTCTAATTATATAAGAACCAGGATTAAAAAATAAAAGGTTATATTTAAACATTTTAAGAATGATAAAGATTTTATGAAGTCTTATTTGTTGTATTTCTTATTTGTTGTATGAAATTCAGTAATTTAAGTATTATAATCGGTTAATATAAGAGTGTAACCGGTTATAGCTGGAGAATAAACACTTCTGAAGACTGAAAAAATTGTTTTTGAGTTGATGTAAGTGGTTAATCAGATGTGTTAATCGGTTACACCTGCTATGAAGATTTTTTGTGTTTGTCTGTGTAATTAATTAATTAATCAGTTTTGTTAACCTGTTACGAGCCTCTGTTTTAGCTTTTTCATGTGTTTTAATGATTTGTTTTAGGTCTCAATTGTTTTAAAACAGTTGTATAAATATCTTGGAGGCACCCTCAATTAGTTTTCTCTTACTAATTCTCTTCTCTCACTATCATCTTCTCCACAAGCACTAAATCTTCATTTGTTCTAGCATTTGACATCAAGAGTCTGGTTCTATCCATAATCCGCTGTGCAACATGAATTTTGTCTCCAATGATAGAGTCGCTACAACCTACCAACTCTTGACTTGAAGATTACGATAAATTAGTGCAAGCAAATGAAGGTTTTGTTTGGCTACCAATATGTTCTTGAAGTGGTCATGAATTGGGGTGAATTCATTTTCGAAGGTGCCACAAATGCACAACGGACAATGCACAAAGAAAGAAAGAAAAGAAAGATTACAAAGCGCTATTTTTTATACCATTCATGTGTGGATGGGTGACAACTTTGAGAAAATCGGTGATAGTGAATCACAAAGAAAGTGTGGAAAATCTTGGAAAAGGCTTATGCATGGACTGATAAGGCAAAGGTGGTGAGGTTGTAAACTCACAAATGTCAATTTGAATTGATTCAAATAGGGGGAAATGAGGCGATAAACGATTGGGTCGATGCAAACTACGCGATTGGTGAATTCAAATCAGTCTTATGGAGAAACGGTTTTCGAAGTAGAATATTGTGTCCCGAGATTTTACATTCTTTAACGACAAGATTTAACAATATTGTTAGTGGCGATTGAAGAGTCGATGGATCTTGAAACGTTGATAAAAGATGAGCTTCAAAGCTCTCTTGAGGCTCATGAGAAAAGGATGGATGAGAGGAGTAATGACAAGGCAAAGGCAGAGATCGCTTTGTAAGCACGTTTCAGTGAGAAGAACAAGAAGTCGAAAGGAAAAATGACTATGAAGAGTAAATGGAATTTTCAGAATTTTGGTGAGAAATAGTCACAAAAATTCAAAGAGTTTGACTTCTCAAATGGTGAGAGAGCAGTTGCATTAAAGTGGTGGTCAAAGAACTTTTGAGGTGAAATCAAGAAGTTTGATAAGAGTAAGGTACAATGCCTTTAATTGTGAAAAGCTTGGCCATTTTGTAAGAGAATGCAATGCGAAATAGAGGTAATATCTAGGAGATGAAGCTAAGGTCGGTAGACAAGAGGTGGATGATGAGAATACACTCGTTGGTCATGATCGCGCGAGGAGAATGCAACAATAGCAGGTTGTAGGGTAATCAACAGTAGTTCTGAGAACACTGCAGAAACATTTGCGGAAGAAAGTGTTATGGTGATTGTGAGAGAAGGAGTCCAATGCAGTTTAGAATGGTACTTAGATTCTGGTTATACCACACATTTATGGGTAGAAAAGGATTGATTTGTCAAACTCAATCAAGCCACGAAGAATAAAGTGAAATTCGTGGATGACACAAATTAGCGGCTGATGGGATCAATGATGTTTTGATCATGAGAAGGGATGTTGGTCATTCCTTGATCAAATATGTATTGTACATTCCTGGAATCAAATATAATCTTCTAAGTATTGGTCAATTGCTTGAGAAGGGTTACAAGATTCGCATGGAAGACAAAACTTTGTGTGTTATGGATGCAAACATGGTTTTAGTCCTTAAAGCTCCTATGGCTTCCAATAGAACTTTCAATATTAAGTTGAAAGTGATGGGGCATGGGTGTCTTGCCAACACCGGCAAGTCGTGATGAGTGGTTGTGGCATTACCGTCTTGGGCATCTCAATTTTCGAGATCTCAATGTGTTGTAAAGGAACAAAATGATAACCAAGTTTCCATCCATCAACATTCCAGCTAAGATTTTGAAGAGCGCGTGCAAGAGAAGCAACACAATGGTAAATTCAACAAGGATGCAAATTTTAGAAGCAAGCATAACCTTAAGGTGGTGTACTCCATATGTGTTGGGCTGATGCAAGTTGATTCGTATGGTGGGAATATATACTTTGTCACTTTTATCGATGATTTTAGTAGGAAGATATGGACATACCAAATCAAGAGAAAGGATGAGTTATTCGAAGTGTTTAAGAAGTTCGACTCTATGGTTTAACAACATAGCGGCCACGGTGTTCAAAGTTCTCAGAACAGATGGTGGAGGCGAGTATGTCTCAAATGACTTTGGGAAGTTATTTGATGAAGAGGAGATAGTGGCAATGAAGTAGTACCACCCTTTATAACCATAGAAAAATCAGTGTTGCCGAGAGGAAGAATTGATCCATTATGAATATGGTGAGAAGCATGTTTTATACCCCAATTGTCCCCCTAAAATCCTCTTGTCATCTACAAGCATCACGAATATTTTTCTTGGTAAAGTTCCTCAAGATACAAGGCCATTTCTTCTCAATGGTCATCAAAGGTCAAAAGTTAGTGGGTTTCTTATTCATTTCACTTTAGCATGATTATAATCTCAACTGAGGATCCTAGGGATCATGATGTTGTCTTTTGGTTATCTTGAGCATCCTTAAGTTTGATCTCCATCTAAGAACCCCTCCTAGTTACTTGTTTCACAAGTTATGACATTAAGGTTTTCTCCTCAAGGATTCAAGAGAGCGGATTTGCATACAATGATTTCTTTGTAGTTTTGAATCAAGATATCTACTCCTATGAGGTTCCTATTATTTGAGCAAAGCATGGGGCATCCATTGAGATCTCATTGATGTTGTTTTCTTCAATTCAAGGTGTTTAATCATATTGCTTAAGCTACAAATCATGGGTCAAGCTTTCATGTATGCATGATTCAGTCAAACTAGGGTGTCAAAGCTCATGTTTATTCCAAAATATCATTAAATCCCTATTCAAGTGGAAGATTCAAATTCAAAGTATTTAAAGTGGTTTCATTCACGATTCGTACGATTGAAAAGAGAATTTAATTCAATCCAAAGTTCGATAAAAGTCATACAATAGGTTCAATCAAGATCCAAGTCAACTACAAATTCAAGTTGTGAGATAATGCTTCAAGCCATTACAAAACTGGAAAAAAATCTAAGTCATCTCCTAATCATTGTGGCTGAGTCTTCAACTTTGAACTATGCCCTTCACATTCCCAAGATCTCTCCCTAAACTCCATCAATCTTCCTACATACCCTTCACATTAAAAGCGTCCCTGCAGAACATTGAACCAGAAAAATACTGAACAGAAAAAGAAATATCAAGTCCTAATAAACCAGTTCAGCCCTATACATAAACTATCCATAAAAACCAGTTCCAATAGGGACCATGACCCTGCTTGAGAAAGAAGAAAAGTCGAGGAGCAATAGGATTTCACAACTCATCTAAAAATCAGAAGAAATAACTCAGAAATAGAGAATTGACAGCTCAGCAGAAAATGGGAGGAAAGATTGGTAAATTGATATACAAAGAGAGAAAATTCAAATAATCAGCTCTCTCTCTCTCTCTCTCTCTCTCTCTCTCTCTCTCTCTCTCTCTCTCTCTCTCTCTCTCTCTCTCTCTCTCTCTCTCTCTCTCTCTCTCTCTCTCTCTCTCTCTCTCTCTCTCTCTCCTCTCTCT